CCCCAAAACCCCAAAACCCCAAAACCCCAAAACCCCATATTTTCTAAAAGAGGTTGAAGTCTAAAGATGAGGAACAATCTTCCTTAAAGTCCTTTGAGAAGCCATTAGCTTGCTCTTTATCGGATGAGTCATATCTGAGCCAGAAGGCAATAGGAAATCATATAATTGGAGATTTAAGTAATTCATTGGCTATAATTTATGACCAAGCCTTGTTAGAAGAGTGGCAAAGGCAGTCTGTTAATTTGTTAAACTATGAAATAATTTTTAGAGAAAGTAAAAGATGGAATTTACTCCAGATAGTAAGCCTAGAGAGAAAAGAATGAAGAATATTAATTTACTCTAAATAATATGCAAAGACTGGGCTTATAACTTCTCTTTTTAGTACCTGATGAAGATATTATTCATATTCAGGAACGCTTTGAGTTTAGCTCGTAATCATCAACAAAATCATAGAATAAGCCAAATTAGATGAAAATCAGGAGATACATCTCCAAGTTCATGAGCATTAGCAAGTTTATACGATTTTCGAACTAAAACTTTGTTTAAAATATTAGAATATAACTGGTTTGGGCCCAAGATATTTCAGATTTAAAGTAAGTGAATTCTAAAGTTCCCTTCACATTGCTCCTTGGCCATTTCAATCAAGAGAAATAATATTTAAAATCTAGAAATGGATAATTCTGAAATCAGTTTCCTCAGCTTGAATAAATCGACTCATAAACAAATCTTCTCTGGTAATTTTTAAATATACTAAGAAGAAAAGACTCTGAAGGGGCAACCAAGTTTTAGGCACTTCTGAAACCCTTAAAACTTACTATTGTTTCATAGTTTTAAACATATCCAGTCAACCAATATTTCCAGCTCATGGCTAAATTATCAAATTTTATATAGTTTGAGTGATTCATGGGTGATTTTATAATGATTGTGAGACTTCCTAAAAGTCTCCAACTTACTTAAATTCTGTCTTTTGAGGTCAAAAGAGTAGTCTGATCGAAGTTATTGCCTCTGTAAAAGCCCCAAATGTTAATAAATGAGGAAAATACAATCTTTCCATAACTTTGAAGAACATCTATAAAGTCAGAACATATTTTTCTTTAGGTGCGAGGGACTCCTAAAGTGATCGAGGAAGCCTCCAAGTAGGCTTCTTTTAAGTTTTTATCAGTAAGAAATGATATGGAATAATTTTCAGGAATTGATCCGTTGTAATATTATACTTAATATACCACCTCATTGTTATGCATGCAAAGAGTACTGGAAGTCTCCACACAAAATAAGGATGTGGATGGGGTCTAAACCCAAGTTATAAGGCTCTAAAAATTCTAAGAAGTCTAAGGGATAATTGGGATAACTGCCATATTTCAAATAAAGGTTTACCATAGAAAGTTATTATCGCAAAATACTGACTTGAGTCTGATTCATTGATCAGTCCGAAAGCTAGCCTCTGAGCTTCATGTTCATCATAGAGGCTGGGACGAATTATTTTTGGCTATCCAACTTAGTCTCAATGACTCGGAGAAATCAAAAAATAATTCAGCAAGGAAATAGGATTAAAGCATAGCAAAATAATGCATCTTGAAGTTAAGAATTCAAATGAAAACGTTCCAGAAGAAAATTTTCTTAGATCCTGAAATGGTTTAGCCAGAGCAAAATCAGCCGAGTCTTTTGGATAATTTTGAAGATAGTAGGAAAAGCATCAACTCCTAAATCGTGATAAACTCACTAAAAAAATAAGGATATAATAAGGTTTGAAATAATCTTTTCTCAAGACAGTCAGGATAAATAAAATGGTTTAGTTTGCTGAGATTTTTGCTTAAAATTACTCTTATAAGTCTCTTAGAGTGCTTAGAAATCTAGCCAGGCATGAATTATACAAGCAGGGGTTAGTATAATTCAATGGGAATAATAAACTTGCTTCAAGATATCAATGTTTACCAATTATAATCTTGATATAAGTTCTTTGTTCAATTTTGAAGTTTGATAACATTCTGTAGAAACTTATTTTTATATGACTGAGTCTTTTGCAAAGCCTCCAAAACCCTTTAAAATTCCTTTAATCAGAACAGAAAAGTCAGCAATAGTGTTTTATAAAGCAATGATCACATTCAGAGAGCAAAATATGATGATGCAAACCATGACTATGTTCTTGCCTAATCTGAACATTCAGCAGATTATTTTTCAAGAGAATGTTTGCTTGACAGACTCATGGAGACATGAACCTTATCTTTAAGGAAAATAATATTTAAGACTCATAGCACTCCCTGGTGCTGAAAACATGAAGAATGGAATACTAAGATTCATTATTCGGGATATAATTACTCCTCTATTTGCACATCATACTATCCAGTTAGTGAGTCTGAAAGCAAGACTAATTATAATTAGATTCACTGGGCTTAGAGACACATAGCAATGGAAATAATTTATGTCAAAAAGCCTTAGTTTAAAGAGACAATGGGCCTGCTTGAGTACATATCATTTGAATGAATGAACTATGATCTAAAAATTGCTCCTCAGAATTTCATCGGCTAATAATATTGTAGAAAATAAGTTTGATGTAAAAGATATGCCAGAAATCATTTAGAGACTTAAGCCATAATAATTAAATTACTAGCAAGAGTGTAGATTACTTTAGAGATAAAACTCGAATATTCATAAATAAATTTTTCATGGTAGACTTTAAACTCGAGTTAAAATCTGGAAAGACTTCGGATAGCTTTCATGACAATAGAGGAGCCTGATATAAGGATGTAGATAACTACAGTTACAATCCTAATAAATAGCCTCCTAGACTAGCTGCTTTGTAGCTAGCTGAATAATTATTCGATTTAATTCCACTGGCAACTCTACTCTGACATTAAATTTGGATATGAATTACTGGCAGCTTTTAGTAACCGTTCTATCTAAATTGATTATTTTGCTCAAACTTGGAAAAGTGACACATATTTATGTATAAACGACATTAAGATAAATTATTTATGCCTATTCATATGCTTGTTTCTGTTCCCCTTTTGAGTAAACTTCTTCCCACAGATGTAGCAGCCAAAGGGCTTTACTCCTTTGTGCATTCTGCAATGGTCGAGTAAGTTCCAGGGGCGATCGAACTTCTTGTTGCATGACCCTTTGAACTTTCAGACAAACTTGCATCCCTTAATGCTTGTGGAGTTCGGCTCATCTTGTTGTACTTCGTATTCATAACATTTGAGTTTATTCAGGAATCGCATGTTAGTGGGAGTCATCACCTTTTGGACGAGTCTGCTCTGCTCCTGAGTTAGACCTCAATAGCACCATCTTTGTGAAGAGGATATGTCTAAACTGCTATTTGATTCGACTTTCTTAACTAAATAATCTGAAGGAGTAGAGCTCTTGCTAGAAGATACTTGCCCATCACTTTGTTGGGACTTGGGATTCTGGATATTTTTGGCACGATTTGAGTAATTTGCGGTTTTCAAGATTGGAAAGTGCTTCAAATGAGACTGCTGTTCAGGGAAATTCATGACAACTGGAAGAGGATTCATGTGCTCAACACTGAGAATCTTTGGCAACTCTTGCCAACTTAAAGTTGGGCTAGCTGGGAAATTTGAAGAAGGTGTCTGAATTTGTGTATGCTGTTCAAATTGAGTATCTTCGATCACTTCTAAGACTCCCAAGAAATGCTGACTAGCAGGAACCAAAGAGTATGAAACATCATTCAGAGGTGGCAACTTAAATCCATGATCTATCGCCATTGTATCTCCATTCATATTGCTAATCGAATACTTATGATCACTACTTCTGTTGCTCTCAAAATTGAGCAAATGAATGTAATTGGACATTGATAACGGTTATTTAAAAAATTATTGATCACAAACATTCTTCCATTTAAATATCTACTTCGGGGTTTTGGGGTTTTGGGGTTTTGGGG